AATAAAAATACAGCACACTGTTCGTCCCTTTCCCCGCTCAGCAGAAGACGATGAAGAAATCATGCTGCAGTTTTGTTTATTGGTTGATTACCCATGTAAATTGTAATCCCCCCAGTTTGACAGGGCTTAAATGAGCTTCTCGGTCAGCGGTGCTGATAAAGGAATAAGCACTCAGCCACCACACTGGCTAGGTTCCGGTCAGAACTAAATTTCTGTCCCCTCCCTCCGCGCTCTTGGACTGTCTGATTGTGACCTGTTCGCAAAGTGTATTAGTTAATAGAAGAAATCACAGGTCGATGTGATTGCGTTACATCAATATATATAATTCGGTCATTTTTCCATGTCTCTAACCCTTCTCACTGCCTGCTCGATTCACTGTAGGTAGCACTTGTATTTATTAATCCTGAACCAAAAAAAGGGGTTTTGAACAATAACAACAAAAACCGGTGTTCATGTGATTTCAATCGAAGTTTCATGCGCACCCGTGTGATAGATTTTAAGCATTTGCACAGGGAAGAGTATTCGAAAAAGATAGAAGAATAGTAAGGAGACCGATTCCTTTTTTTACCGTCGGTGGTGGTGGTGGTTGCGCGTCCATGACGGTGTTCCGAAATGTGCAAACAGTAGCGTTCATTCGGCATTTGATTGTTGATAAATCAATAATTCTACGCGTCAATATACTTCCATACAATGGAATGGCCTAGACGATAAGTCAGCAGTTCTGTCCGGAGTGCCGGAGTTGAGAAGAACAAACAGATGGGATTTCGCTCAGTAAATGTGTATTATTGTACGCGTAGTTAGTAAGCCTATCTGAAGTAGACCGATCCACGGAGAGTTGAAGACGACCGTGAAATCAACGAAACAGTCTGCACCGGGTCGTTGAAAGCTCTAGTACTAGACTTCGAGTGCGCAATCGGTCTTACACATCCGCTCACAAATCTGTTCGAACCGAATCGATTCAATATTTGTGGCCGCATTGTTCACGTTTAATCCTCGACAACTGTTGCATACCGTTCTGTCAAACTTTCTTTGAAACAGGTGGTAAGTCCCCCAATCCGTTGTAAACTGTTCCTTTTCCCAGACTGAGTAAGTAGCACGGGACTCCGGGGAGAGGGGGGGGCGGGGCGGGGCGTAATTCATATAGCTCGGACTGTTCACCTTCTCCCTTAGCCTTCCGATTATTTACTACCTGATTAACGTCCTCACCTATCGGGGGTTTGTGGTTAATATGGAAACATTCGGTTGTCGTGAGACAGTTCCACAGACAATCGGGTGACTCAAATTGTTCTTTTTCCCTTGCACCGGAATCAGTAGCCCGATCGATTCCCGAAAGAATGATTCTTCCTAGTATCGCTTGGCAGAACCATAAATAATGAACTGTAATGGTTTCGTCGCTGTCACTGGCGTCCTTTAACCTCCGTCAGCGCCATCCAACTGTAACTTTAGTGTGGTCCGATTCAATAACACGCCTAACCTAGCGTGTCCATATGTGATTCGCCACCCCAAGTCCTGTGGGGCTTAGGTGACTGATCCCCATCACTGAAAAACAGGTCCGCATGACCATAGGGTTCACCCCATCTGCCGTTCTTCACACTCATATGTGCAACAATAAATAAACTAAAAGAGATTCGAGAAGTTGCGATTTCCAAATTTCCTTCTTTTCCGGACGAACGTGTGATTTCTGATCCCATGGTTAGGAAGAAAATCGGTGGATGTCCGTAACCTTTTCAGATAACTGAAAAGTAGTCCCCAATCTTCCTGTCGCTAACGGGTATTGATCAGTTTATCAACAGCATATAGATTAATAGATGGACAACCCGCAAAATGGTCCACTGTTGTTCCACACTAATGTTTCGTCTCGTTCAGAACGTTTAGTTATCAGGTGGGAAGCATTGGAATTTAGTACCGCGTGCTACTTTTTCAGTGAGCCAACTGTAGCCACCTTGATCCATTTCAAATCCTCTTTTTTTGCTTTGGTTGATCAGGTGAATCTTCAGACGTACGCGTATAAAAGTGATGGGTACCGTTTTTTTTTAATTTTCTTCCTCTGAATCACAGCTCAATATCACGCCTAACTTAGCATTGTCTTTTCTGATTCACCACTCCAAGTCCCGGGGCTTAGATTCCCTTTGCCCGTTACTGATCAGCAGGTCTTCGTGACTCTGGGTTCTACCCCGTTCGCTGTTCATCGTAGAACAATGTGTAATAATAATCGATACGCTCTTCAACCAGTGATGCCCATCGTGAT